GCAATGAATAACGAAAATAACAAGCCATCGATTATCAAGCATTGCGTCATTGTCATTCCCATCTAATCATCGTCGGTCTCTACCTCCATGACAGTAAAAATTTTAGCTACCATCCACGATATTAGTTTGTTCATGATTACTCCAAGTTTGTTCATCAAACATTTTTTTAAACTAATGCTTCAAAAATTCCGAATGTTCACCTCAACTTCTTAGTTGAAATGAAACTTTAATAAAAATTCTTTTACTGTTTACTAGTAAATTTTAAGGGCATGTTGTGGAAATATTCCTCGAAAAAACTGATTTTCTACGTGTCGTCTCACTGAGAAATCTCGTTTGATATCTCCTTTGGATAATTAGATAAAAAGATGAAAAGTTATTTTCAAACCGTAAAAAACTTTTCCGAATGTTTCGACAATTTTTTTAATAAAATTATTTTTTTAAATTTTACAAATTTTACAAAATTCCGAAAAGAGCACGTACCAAACTCTATTTTTTTCAAAGACCCAAAATATTCTTTTATTTTTAAATTACAATTCGACAACAATACCACTGTTTCTCCCAAATGCACATAAAAAATTTTTGTTCGAGGAAATTGTTCATTCGCAAACATTCAATAATTTTCAAAATTAACAAAATTTGTACAAGAATTTAATTATTTAAAATATAATTTTTACCAAATTTTTCAAAAAATAACTTATTATTTAAACTAAATTAAAAAAATTCTTCGTAAAAATTCAATTATTTTAAGAAATAAAATTATTTACGGGAATTCAATTATTTAAACAAATTTTAACAAAACTTCTTCGCAGGAATTGAGTTATATTTACAAACAATAAAATTTGTCACATGAATTCAATTATTTTTATAAATAAAAAAACTCATCGCAGGATGTCAGTTATTTAAAAAAAAAATTGTCATTATTTCCTCGAAAAATGTAATTTTTCATAAAAATTTTATTAAAATTCTTTGAATGAATTCAATTTTAAGAAACATTTAGTTATTTAATAAATTATTTATTTTTGTATTAAATAATTGAATTCTCAAAGAACTTTGTAATAAGAATTAATTTAAGAATTAATTTTTAGGAAAATTTATGATAATAATTGAATATTAGTATTTCCTTTTAGATTTGTGACATTTTAAAAGCTACTTTATCCTTTTTTTCTTGAAAATTTGCTAATAGTCGAGATAAAGAAATTTTTCCAAAATTTTTTTATAAAATTCTTTGAAACGATTCAATTATTTTCAATATTTACTATTTTTAATAAACAATTCCAAAAAAAATCAATTATCAAGAGACAAATTTTTTATGAAACTGTTCCTTGCAAACATTCACTGCTAAATAATTTTCCATAAAACCACTTTTTCTCTCATCTGCTCTTAAAAAATTTTTTTTTCTATGCAATTGTACTTCGCAAACATTCATTTATTTTCATAATTAACAAAATTTGTACAAGAATTTAATTATTTAGAAATTAGAATACAATTTTTACCAAATTTTTCGAAAAAAATTATCATTTAAAAAAAATTTAAGAAAATTCTTCGTAAAAATTTAATTATTTTAAGAAATAAAATTATTTACGGAAATTCAATTATTTAAATAAATTTTAACAAAACTTCTTCGCAGGAATTCAGTTATTTTTACAAACAATAAAATTTGTCACATGAATTCAATTTTTTTAAAATAAAATTCTAATAAAATGCGTTACAAGAATTCAATTATTTTTATAACTAACAAAACTCATCGCAGAATTACTATTATTTAAAAAAAAATATAAATCAATTCCTCGAAAAATGCAATTTTTCTTAAAAATTTTCTTAAAATTCTTTGAATGAATTCAAATTTTAAAGAAATATTTAATTATTCAATAAATTATTTATTTTTGTATTAAATAATTGAATTCTCAAAGAACTTTGGAATAAGAATTAATTTATTAGGAATTAATTTATTAAGAATTAATTTTTATGAAAATTTTGGATAATAATTTAAGATTTGTATTTCTATTTAGATTTGTGACACTAAAAGCTCCTTTTTTTTTGAAAATTTGCACTACTTTAAATTTGCTAATAGTTGAAATGAAAAAATTATTCTAAATTTTTTTTATAAAATTCTTTGAAACGATTCAATTATTTTCAATATTTACTATTTTTAATAAAAAATTTCCAAATGAAATCAATTTTTTCAATAATTATTGAAAAATTTTCCAAAATTCCGAGAAGAGCGCGTGCCAAACTATATTTTCTAGAACCGAAAATATTTTTTTCTTTTTAAATTACAAGTCGTCCACGAAATCATTTTTTCTTCCATCTTCTCTTAATTAGATTTTTTAGTTGATTTGATAAACTATCAATTTAGAGTTCTAAATAAACATCTCTTTTTAATAGTCAATTTACGATTCTATAAAGGAGAGAATAAATAAAATAATAGAGTTCAATCTCAAAAGTATAATAAATTAAAATATCAATAAAAAAATCCATCAATAAATTCATAACGTTTCTGTATTTTTATATAAATATTTCTTTCAATAGAATTTCAGACTAAAATGAAAAAATTCACAATATTTGTTGGAGCAAAATTGACAGCGACAACTTAAAACAATTTATAATAAGAATCAATGAAAACATGTTGAATGACACATATATTTATATTTAGAATATCCCCCGTTAAATTTTTAATATTCTCCATTTTCTCCTCTGGCGTTTATTTTCTCTCAATTTTAATATTATGAAATTTATGAAAAGAGAGGACGCGAGAGGGAGAGAGACAGAGAGTTGTATAATAAAATGACTCTTAAATTAAAGGAACATTAAAGCGATTCTTTATGGACCACTTTTTTAGTCCATTTATTTCTCATTTCAGCAATTCCTTTCATGTTTTCATTTCCTGTTAGATATGGTGAAAAATGAGTAAAGCATTAACGTTGGAAAAGTAACTTTATATCTAGACATACAAGATCTAAAATAACAGTGAGAGGAACGAAAGAACAAGAAAGCTGCAGTGTCTCATTATCACAAGGAGAGAAGTAGTAGAGGAAGAAGTGTTGTCTGGCATTATCTGTAAAGAAATTAATAAAAGATGCCTTCAATGCTTTTCTTTAGTGAGTGTGAGTGGGGAAAGATAATTTTCCGGATGGTGCTCCATCAACCTTGCCAGACACCTTTTGTGTTACGTGCTTGTTATTACATAGATGAAAATATATCTATATACTATATAAATTATAATATGTGTGTGTGTGTGTATAAATGCGAGATGGAGAATGTATACACGTATAATATACATACATAATATATAATCTAAACATGAGTATTGTACAAAGTATATATATATATGTATATATTACGAGACCTTGGGTTGAGTAACGCAGGTGGTTTAGCAAAACCCATATCATGCAATTTCCTTTGACACAAGGAATTCGTTGACTTGTCAATGAAGATAAATGTACAAATATGAAAGATCATTGGGGGAGTATTTTTTTTAATCGTAACCAGCAGTTGATCATTTTCTCTTTTTTGAAGAAAATCAAAAAGAAAGTTTCTTTTTGCGAAAGCAAAAACATCTACACGAGTATAACTTCTACTATTTACAAGATAAAACCAAAATTGTGTGGAACTCTCTTAATTTGAATTAATTGACTTTTTGCTATTGAATTAGTAAATTTCACTAATAAATTAGTAGAAATTACTATTTATTAGTCAAATTTACTAATTCAAAAGCAAAAAGTCAGTCACTAATATCAGAGGAAAAAAAATTTGGACAGGGGAAAAAAGTTGAATTTACTAATTAGGTACTAATTTGAATATGGTGACTGACTTTTTGCTTTCGAATTAGTAAATTTTACTAATAAATAGTGATTACTACTAATTTATTACTAAAATAAGTAGTTATTTCTACTAATTTATTAGTAAAATAAATAGTGATTTCTACTAATTTATTAGTAAAATAAATAGTAATTTCTACTAATTTATTAGTTAAATTTACTAACTTAAAAGTCAGTAACTAATTTCAATTAGTAAACATTTTTACTAATTCTAATTTATAGAGTAGATTCAGACAGTCACGGAATTTATTTTTATAAATTTTTAATATTTTTTCCAAAAATATTTTAACAATTATTTACGTATTCATTACGAAAAGTATGAGAAGTTTATATTAAAATTAAAATTAAAATCCACTTATCCGAATGTTTCGTTTATTTTATTACCTCCTATTTTAACAATTTAATGGCAAATATTTTAATGTTGAACATTTTTTTCCAATTATTCAGATTTAAATAAAATTGATACATAATATTACTTTTAAGAGATAATAAGTTTATTTAGATATTGAGAATAATTTATTAATGAAATATTCATTAGTTGGAAGTAAATAAAAGAGAACTATATTTTAATTAGCAAAAATGTATTTTTGAAATATTCATAAAGCACACTTTTAATGAGCATTAATTAAATATTTATGCATCTATTACTGTTTAATTAATTATGCCAGATAAAAGCACATAATTGGATATTGTCTCGTTATGTTAATTTGTCTTTGATATTAAAACGATGAAATTTTAATCGTAAAAAGTATAAAAAAAAATATACATATGTTCCGCTTTGTTGATTAAACTCAGACGTGTTCAGAATAATTATAAATGCAGTAAAAAAAATTATTATACCAAATATGAATATTTATTTAATGGAAAATTATTTCTTTTTTTGCATCAAGTAAATATTTTTCAAATAATTTTGAATTAAGGGTAGAGAAAGTGGTGTCGTGGTCGACTTGTAATTTAAAGAAGAAAAGAAAATTTTGGGTCTTTGGAAAATATAGAGTTTGACACGCGTTCTTCTAGGAATTTTGGACAATTTTTCAAAACTAGTAGCCACGTGGAGAAAAAAGTTAGACAGAAAGGTTTTCGGTGTTATTTACAGGACCAATCAAAATTTAACCATTTGCCTTCAATAATAATTTTTTAATAATAATTTTTTTTTTACACAAAAATGAAGAAAAACGAAACTTTTTTTTAAAATTTTAAGTACAATTTTATTACTTTCCAAAAGCAGTAATACAATATTTCAACTGCTTATTGTTCCCAGTTTTTCCATATCCCTGAGTACAATTAGGCGATTCCAGCTTTGGGAAAACTATTCTACAAGTTCCTCATTTTTATCGAAGGTAGCTTCCGTCAATCCTGAAAGGTCTGAAAAATTAAAATCATTATAAATAACAGACCAAAAAATTTGTTACAAATTATAAAATAATGTATACTTTGCTTCCTCATGAAAATTTTCACTTCATTTTTTAAATTAATTATACTCTCAAATATGTTTCTATAAATTTTGAACATTCAAATAAACAAAATATATATTTAAATGAAAACATTTCAAAAGAGTAAAAAAATTGCTACTTAAAAATTTATTTTTGAAATTACATTATCTTATTGTGGAAGTCAATAATTATGCACTAAAAAAATGTATTTAATTCAAATAACCGTTTACGTGACTATTATCAATTAAATATTTACTTGAATCAAATAATTTTTATTCAAAATAAATTGTGTTTGAAATAAATTGTATTGGAACCATTAATTTCGATATTTGAAGCAAATACAATTAAATTGACTGAAAAAATTATTTGATTCAAGTAAATATTTAATTGATAATACACAAGTAATCGGTTATTTGAATCAAATAAATTTTTGTTTCACTGTGAAATGAATTACAAAAAGAATCCAGCTTTTGAAAAGAAATTAAAATTTACTTACCTCCCATTACAAAGGCAGAGTCAATAACAAATATTACTGACAAAATAAGTATGAAATTCAGACGAAGAAACTGCATTATGTTTATAGTAGTGTTAGAGCTTCGAAAATTTTCTAAATTGTGAATTTAAACTAAAAATTTCGAGCTTTTTATACTTCTCCAATCAGAGATAACTTTTATAATTGAGGATAATTATTGTTTTCAATACTTTGTTGAACTTATCGGAAAAAAATAAATATTATTATTAAAATAAAAAAAAATTCATATTGTCTTATCAATTTTTTATTTATTACAAGGAAACTAGAAGCCAAGTAGAGCATTATTATGTGTTTTTTCGTATCTGACAATGATAATACATTTTACAGAACAAATATTGTTCACTTATTCAGCTATATCATTTTAACTGGAATTAATTTTTAAACCAGTTCGTTTTAAAAGTTCTACGAGTATTAAATTATTTGAATACAAAAATTAATAATTTATTGAATAATTGAAATTTTCACAAAAAACTTCAGTTTTAAATCAATTCTTTTTAAAAAGTTCTATGAAAATTCAATTATTCAATAGAAAAATAAATACCTAATTCATACAATAATTAAATATTTTTTAAAATTGAATTCTTTCAAAGAATTTTAATAAAATTTATTTATTTGTTAAAATAAGTGAATTCTTGAAGACAAAATTTTAGAAAAATTGTGTAAAAATTGTAAGTATTTTAAATAATTAAATTTTTGTGGGATAATTTTTTTTTTTATTAAAAATAGTACATATTGAAAATAATGAATCGTTTCAAAGATTTTTTTTTAAAAAATGTTTAGAATAATTTTGTTATTTCAATTATTAGTGTGCAAATTTTCAGGAAAAAACAGAAAAAAGTAGTTTTTAGTGTCACAAATCTAAAAAAATACTAATATTCAATTATTTTCATAAAAATTAATTATTAAATTAATTATTACTAGAAAGTTCTTTGAGAATTCAATTATTTTATAGAAAAAAAATAATTTATTGAATAATTAAATATTTCTTTAGAATTGAATTAATTCAAAGAATTCTAATAAAATTTTTAGAAAAATTACATTTTCGAGGAATTTATTAAAATTTTTTTTTTTAAATAATTGAAATCCTGCGATGAGTTTTGTTATTTATAAAAAATAATTGAATTCTTGTAACGCATTTTAGTAGAATTTTATTGAATAATTGAATTCATGTGACAAATTTTATTGTTTGTAAAATTAACTGAATTCCTGCGAAGAACTTATATTATAATTTCTTTAAATAATTGAATTTCTGTAAATAATTTTTTTTGGTAAAATAATTGAATTTTTACAAAGAATTTTCTTAATTTTTTTTAAATAAACATTTTTTTTTCGAAAAATTTTGTGAAAATTGTAGGTATTTTAAATAATTAAATTCTTTTACAAATTTCGTTAATTATGAAAATAATTGAATGTTTGCGAAGAAAAATTTCGTCGATAAAAAATTTTTAAAGAAGGCAGTTTTAGAATTCAATTATTTAATAAAAAAAAAAAAAATAAATAATTTATTGAATAATTAAATATTTCTTAGAACGAGATATCGAAGATTATTTATCAGTGAAAGGACACAAGGAGAAACATTTTTTTCGAGGGATATTTCCCACATGCCCTTAACGAATATCAGATTTACATTTTTTCTGAGGATATAAAATTGAGACAAAAAACGAATCAAAAATGTTGCTTCGCAACACTTTTGATTCGTTTTTTGTCTCAATTTTATATCCTTAGAAAAAATGTGTAAGAAAAAAAAACTCTTACTGTCAAGGTAACTTCACAAACCCCCGAACATGCTCTCTAAATCTGAATCAGTGAAAATCAGTGAAATTTGACTGAGAATCAGTGACTCTATTCTCGCGATTTGAATCAGTGGAATTTCACTGAAAACCAGTTAAAAATAACTGAAATTTCAGTCATTTTTCACTGATTCGCCAATTAAAAAACTACTGAAAATTTCTGTCACACATATTGAAAATTTCAGTTATTTTTTAATTGGCCAATCAGTGAAAAATGACTGAAATTTCAATCATTTTTAACTGATCTTTAGTGAAATTTCACTGATTCAAATCGCGAGAATAGAGTCACTGATTCTCAGTGAAATTTCACTGATTCAGTTTTAGAGAGTGCCCTTAAATTTTTTGTCAAAAAATTGAAATTGAAAAGAGTCACAAATTTAGCGTCATTCATTTGATCATTTCATCTTTGAAATTTTATAGAGACTTATTGTAATTAACTTATATTTGCGGTAATATAGTGAGTAATAGAATTACCTCGAGTGAATCTTTGTGTACTCTTAATAAAATAACCAGCGATAAATGTATGGAGCAATGGGATAAAGTTGATCAAAGAAAAGTTTAATATTAAAGTAATAAAAGTGAAACAGAGGTTTGCTATTTGAAGAAATCTTCAAGGGAGTGTGTATATATATATTTGCATGTAGCTTGTATGTAAGACGAGAATATTGAGGTCGTTGTAGGGATGAAAGTATGTAGCGACCCTTGTTCTTGCCGTTCAATACCCGGGCGTATTTTACATGAGACTTCTATACTGCAAGCAAAAGACGACCTGGTTGAGTGGATAAACCGTCTGACCGATAAACCATCCCCAGCTCTTAGACCGAGTGTAAATCTCGAAATTTTCTCTCCTCGAACCCCCGCTGAAAAAGTTAAACCCCCCCCAACCCTTCTTCTTTTGTTGCTTTTCGATCTTCTGAATCGACTACCTTCGCACACCAGACATGAAAGTACCTTTTCTCTCTCTTCCTCTCTTTTACTCTTTCTTCCCCCCTCTCTCTCTCCTCCTTTTTTCCCTCACCTTCTCTCGCTTTTTCTCTCCTTCTCTCTTTCTCTCTTTCTCCTTTTTTTCCTCTTTCACTCTCTCTCTCCCCCCCCCTCTCTCTCTCTCTGTTAGTTCGATCCGGACACTTCAAAAAAGGATGGAATGGAAAATATATTTCCCACTGGCAAACGTCACCTTTACTGCAAATCTCCGCTGCTTTTAAGACAGTACTTCTGTTTTTACGATTATGTTTATCGTAAAAAGAATAAATTGAAGAATAAATATTAAGAGAGAATAAAAATTGTCAAAGAAAAGATTTTCATGGAATGAGAAATTTCAAGTTGTTTTGTTTTATTATATATGCCTTTGCTTATATGTATAGAGCGAGAGCAAGAGAGAGAGAGAGAGAGAGAGAGAGAAGAACATAATTTCAAGTTGACGCAGAGAAAGTGAGCTTTTCCAATTTCATTTTTCTCAAGTTTATCTCCATATTTCGCTTGTAAAACGAGTTTCTCACTTGTTTGCTTTAAAAATATTTGTCAACAACGCGCGCGCGTCCCCCGCTTTTCGTATATATTCTCTCACGCACCATCGAAACTTTTATATTTTTATAAGCGTATGTTAGAAGTGAATTAACAAACTTCTCGAAATAAAAAAAAACACTGTTTGTAAATTCAATTTTTGACAAGAATAGTTTTTGAGACAGAAAAAAATTGAAAATATAAAAGTTCACATTTACACGAGACAGTGCTTATTGAAAGTTTAATGTTAAAATCATGTCTGGAATTTTTATTTCTACTTATAAAAGATAAATCAAATTAACAGTTTATTTGAAACCATCTAGATTTTCTTTTATTAAATTTGTATATCTAAATTAAACAAGTGTCTTTAAATATCCAATTTCATAAAAATTGGAAATATTAAATTTTAGATTTATATATTTTATTTATCCAGGTCGCTGAGGAGAAATTTTTATTCGCTTTTTATATTATAGACTTTTAATTGATTAGATATTTTTTAATTAAAGTGTAGAAAATTTTTTATTATATTTAGAAATTAAAACAAGTTTTGTCTGCACAGAAAATAAAAAGTGTTATTTTAACACCGAATTTGGTGTTAAAATAACACGCAACAAATTTAACCGTTATAGGTGGCGCCACATTCTATGTCGTTTAACATTGGTTAATTTAACACGCAACAAAAATCACACCAAATTTTTTCTAGTGTGTAAAAATATATTCTATGAGAGCTTTTATTGAAATTGAGAAAAATGGATAATTTTTTTTTGTTATCGACTGCAAAATGAAAAGTAAATCTTTTTTGTCTGACTAAATATTCTCTTGTATTCAAATTTATTGTATACTGGACGGAAACTTGATAGAAATCAAAACAAATGATCTAACTGAAATTGACTTGTACTACTTATTCTGATTTTAAATGTTTTGTCTGACTAAAATATACTTTTATCACTGATTCGTATAATTTTTGTAAGTAAAATGTTTTGTCTGACTTAAAATTTGTTTAACTACTTACAGCGTCTGACTGGATACTGTAAATTACATTTTTAAAACATTGTCTGACTAAAAATTGACTTGTACTACTTACTCTGATTTTAAATACTTTGTCTGACTAAAATCGACTTTTTCTACTGATTTCGCCAATTTTTTTGTTTTAAAGTAAAATACTTTGTCTGACTAAAATATACTTCTACCACTGATTTATATAATGTTTGTAAGTAAAATGTTTTGTCTGACTAAAAATTTCTTTAACTACTTTCAGCATCTGACTGGATACTGTAAATAATATATTTAATACATTGTCTGACCAAAAATTGTCTTTTACTACTGATTCTTATTTGAAATGCTTTGTCTGACTAAAATCGATTTTTACAACTGATTTCTACAATTTTCGTAAGCAAAATGTTTTGAGTGATTAATATTGACTTTTACTACTGATTGATATAATTTTTTTAAGTAAAATATTTTGCCTGACTTAAAAATTCTTTAACTACTTACATCATATAATTAGACGATTAAAATTCTGATAAATATTTGTCAGAAAAATCTTTAGAGAGAGAATAATCTTCACGAATGAGAGAAAATAATCGTCAAGTTTTTTTTCCATTCTCTTTCTCTCTTTTTTTCTGAATAAGTCAGATATTGATATTGAAATTGAAATTTTTGAAAATGAATTGATTGACAATAATAATTAGAGGTATAACAGTTTAGCTGGATGTCGATTCATTCGTTTGAAGGGACATCTAGCAAGATGAGGTGAGCTGAAAAATCCAAGAACCGTAATAGTGGAAGAAAATTTGCTGACTTGACTCTCGAATATCCGTCGGTTCCGAGAGAGAGAGAGAGAGAGAGAACGAAAGATGGTAAGCGGAGTAAAAAAAAAAAGAATCTTGTCATTTTTCTACGCTCGCTCGCTCCAGACAAAAGATTTAGATCCCCTCGGATTTGTCCAATGATATCGATGAAATATAATATAGAAAACGATGGCTCAAAACTAATAGAAATAATATTTTAATAACGACTATTCCTTTATCTCTTAACATAATAATAAAATTTAGCCTATGAATGAAATTTTTTTTGTTGTTGTAAATTTAATTCAATTTTTTCTGTTCTTGTTATTTTGTAATATTTTATATTGAATCTACTATTAATTATTAAATTTTCACAAAGTTTAAAAGAAGAAAAAAGTTTTAAAGAATTAAATTATTCTTTTTGAAGTTTTTTATTTTGGTTTTCAAGAAATAATAATTTCGTCAGTAGTAAGAAATATGTTTAGTCAGACATGGCAAAAAATCATAAGAAGAATTGAATTTAAGGAGTTAGATACTGTAAGTAGTGAGAGACAGTTTTAGTCATCCAAGGCGAATATTGTAGTCTGACAAATAAAGGAAATTAATAGTGCAGTAGTAAAGATCACTTAATAGTCAGACATTACTAAAATTTTCAGTAAATCTTTAGTGTTTGTTTTATCTTTTTTATTCAATAAAAAAGTATTTTTAAAAAATAATTGGTTTAGAGAGAAATTTTTCGTTCTTAAGGGAAAAAGGTATTTTTAGTTAGACAAAACATTTTACTTTCAAATTCATCTAAATTAGTAGTAAAAGTCGTTTTCTTGTACAAATCTTTAGAATCAGTAGTAAAAACCAATTTTAGTCAGACAATGAAGCATTTTACTAACGAAAATTGTCGAAATCAGTAGTAAAAGTCGATTTTAGTCAGGCAAAGCCTTTAAAATCAGAATAAGTAGTACAAGTCAATTTTTGGTCAGACAATGTATTAAAAATATAATTTACAGTATCCAGTCATACGATGTAAGTAGTTAAATAAATTTTTAGTCAGACAAAGCATTTTTCTTCTCAAAAATTGTCGAAATCAGTAGTAAAAATTGATTTTAGTCAGACAAAGCATTTAAAATCAGAATAAATAGTAAAAGTCCATTTTAGGTCAGACAATGTATTACAAATATAATATACAGTAACCAGTCAGACGATTTAAGTAGTTAAATAAATTTTTAGTCAGACAAAACATTTTACTTTCAAAAAATATACAAATTAGTAGAAGAAGTATATTTTAGTCAGACAAAGCATTTTACTTACGAAAATGGTGAAAATCAGTAGTAAAAGTTGATTTTCGCCAGACAAAGCATTTAAAAAAAAAATCGGTAGTACAAGTCAATTTTTGGTCAGACAACATATTAAAAATATAATTTATAGTATCCAGTCATACGATGTAAGTAGTTAAATAAATTTTTAGTCTGACAATGAAGCATTTTACTTACGAAAATTGTCGAAATCAGTAGTAAAAATCGATTTTAGTCAGACAAAGCATTTAAAATCCGAATAAGTAGTACAAGTCAATTTTTGGTCAGACAATGTTTAAAGAAATATAATTATTTAATACATTCATTATTTTTTTATTTTTTCGATGCAAGTAGTTAAATAAATTTTTAATCAGACAAAGTATTTGACTTACGAAAATTGTTGAAGTCAGTAGTAAAAGTCGATTTTAGTCAGACATAGTATTTAAAATAAGAATCAGTAGTACAAGTCAATTTTTGGTCAGACTATACGTTTTGATTTCTATCAATTTTCTGTTCAGTAGTAAAAGTAAATTTCAATCAGACACAAGATTTTACACACACTTAAAATTTTATGACAACTTTAAAATAGATTTTAGTTTCCATTTTGCAGTTGAAAACGAAAAAAATTTCATTTCTCAAAAATTTGAATACAAGAGAATATTTAGATAGGCAATTTAAACCATCCAGTTAGATGTCGTAAGTAGTTAAAGCCATTTTCAGTCAGACGAAGACGAAATATAATTTACGTCATCCAGTCAAATAATGTAAGTGGTTAAAGAAATTTTTAGTCAGGCATACTATTTTACTTCCACAAATTGTAGGAATGAGTAGTAAAAGTCAAGATTAGTCAGACAAAGCTTTTAAAATTAGTATAATGTTGCTATGACAGTATTAAGAACCAGTCGAAGTGTTTAAAATCACTGAAATCATCCAGTTCCATGTTGTAAGTAGTAAGAGCTATTTTTAGTCAGACAAGACGTTATGTCTACAGTAGTAACAGTCAGTTTTAGTCAGACACAAGATTTTTTGCACTTAAAGTTTTATAAATACTACAAAAAGTTATTTGGTCTTGATTCAAATTGAAAGCAATAAAAAATCCAATTTTGAATGTTTTTAAAGCATAAGTTGTAAAAGAAAATGTTCAGTCAGACGAAATTTTCTTCAATTTTTAAATGTAAGATTAAAAAAACTTTTCAATAAAAATATGAAAGTAATGAAAATCTACTATAATAAAAGAAAATAAAAATCTGATGCACGTTAGTGCATCAGTTACTGTGGGTAAGGGGATTGACAAAAAATTTCTCCTCATCTAAAGTAGATCACAAAAAAAAAACTAAAATTCGCCTTTTTCTCTTGTAAATGAGAGAGAATCCTTTTATAAAGTTCTGTAATAAAAAACAATAAATTTGAAACATTGGAACTTAAAGGAGATTCTATTCCCTAAAAGTTGGCTTATGGACTGAAAGCCATGAAGTCTCTTCTCTCGATGAGACGAGGAGAGAAACCTGTAAAGAATTCGCAACTTTTAAACGGTCGTTTAGGGTGTTTAAACGAAAGTATCGTTGAAGAGATGCTTATAGAAATTTGTAGCAAACTTTTCGACGTGGATAGAAACTAGTCTGTAGTGTCAGTGTTTCCTCTCGGACAGGAGAACAAGAGAGAGAGAGAGAAGAAGAGAGCGAGACAGAGCTTTAAGCAATATTCTCTTGAAATTGGTTCCGGGCAACTTGAAGTGGTCGAGACTTTGGTATATCGTATAGTCTCAGTGAGAAAACAACCCTTTAAGCATTTAAGCGGTGGTCCATTTTACCCCACCACCTTCACCTTACTGGTGCGATGAGGATGATGACTATCATGATTATTATTACTATTATTATTATTATTATTATCCAACAACCCTTTTGCGTGAGTTTCCGTTCTATGTTCCTAATCGTCTCGTTGGTCTCCGCTTAGTAAAGCTTAGGATACAGTTAACCGAGTGTGGGTTAACCAAGGTCGGAAACCGACGGTGCGAGACGCGCTTGCTTGTTTCGTGGATTAAACTGTCGAAAGGGTTCAACTCATACACACACATTCACTCTCCCTTCCTCTTGTTCTACAGTTTGGAAATTTGTCTTCCAATTTTTTTCCCTCTATAAAAGAGGGTAAATATTTTCCCTCTCTTCTCTCTCTCTCTCTTTCCTTCTTTTTTTCACTCCCTCTAGCAAAAATGTATTTTACGATAAAATATTTTCTTGTATTTTTTATATCTCAACATGATTCAATTTTCTATTTCCAAGAGAGAGGGAGGGTATAAAATTTTTTTTTTTCTAAAATAACATAAATGCAGTAAAATTATATGTATGTGTTGGAAGATATTTTACGTGAATAAGAAAATGCGTTGAAAATGGATGCATATTTTTATTTGGTTTTCTTCTTTTTTTTCTGAAAAGAGAGAAAGGCGAAAGACAAATAGAAGAAGGGGAATAAGTAGGGTCAATATTTGTAGAGAGTGTATGGCAACTTAACGAAATATATTATTTTAAGTCCTTCTTTCGCATTACGCTTTTTTTGCGATGAGAAAAAACGCATTAAAGCTGTTTTTATTATTTACGAGGTTTTTTTTTTAGTTTACAACATTTACAATCAATTTATCACTTTATTTTTTATGATTAGGTTTGTCCAATTTTATTTCCTTTTGAGTGAATTTTTGCTATTTTTTAAATTAATTTTGTATGTGTTTGTTTTTAATATTGATTAATAGAATTATTTAATAGAAATGATTGCTTACATTTTTTATTTCTTTGAGAATAATTTTAATATTAAGTGTTTTTTCTTATTGTTTCAGGTGAGTCTAACAACACTTCTTGATGAGTTTCTTTTGTGAGTAAATATATATTGAAACACATTTAATTATATATTATCTATAATAATAAGCTTTTTGCAATTTATTTACAAAACTTATCATTTTTCAAGAAAAAAACATTTTTTTTTAAATCGGAAATGTATTCTAAAAAGTTTCTGAGTATCTCCTTGTTTCGGAAAAAGCTTTTTTTTTTAATAAAAAAGCTCAAATTTGATGAAAAAAAGACCAAATTTAATAATCGACTCCAAAAATTGTTAATACAAATTTAGAAGACAAGCGTCGTTTATCATACCTACATTTTTTTTTTAATCAAAAAAATATTCTAAAAAAGTTTCTGAGTACCTCCGTGTTTTGAAAAAAGCTCTTTTTTAATAAAAAAAAGTTTCAATTTGATGAAAAATGACCAAATTTGACATTCGCATGCAAAAATTTTTTAAAAACATTATCAAGACCAGCGTCGTTTGTCAAAATACAAATTTTTTTTTGAATCGGAAGTAAATTCTAAAAAAAATGTTGAGTATCTCCGTATTTCAGAAAAAGCTATTCTTTAATAAAAAAAAGCTCCATGTTGATGAAAAAAAGCCCAAATTTGATATTCGCCTTCAAAAATTGTTTTAAAAAATTGCCAAGACCAGCGTCGTTTTTCAAGATACAAATTTTTTTTCTGAATAAGCTCTTGAATTACAAAATAAATTTAATTCAATATATTTAATTGAATTTTAATAATTTAATATCTTTAATTAAAATAATTTAATTTAAAAAAGCTGAATACCGAATGATAAATTCCCTTCCGTTAATTAAATTTTGAAAAAGTTTTGACTTTCTCCGTAAAAAAAAATATAAAAACTCCAATTTAATTTAAAAAATTCTAAATTTATATTCGCCTCCAAAAATAGTTTTAAAAAAACATTATTAAAACCAGCATCGTTTATCAAGATAACATTTTTTTTTTTTGGAATCGGAAAAAAATTCTAAAAGGTTCTGAGTACCCACGTGTTTTGGAAAAAGCTACTCTTTTATAAAAATAAGCTTCAATTTAATGAAAAAATGTTCAAATTTGATATTTGACACCAAAAAGTGTGAAAATAAATTTACAATACTAGCGTCGTTTTTTAAGACACAATTTTTTTCTGAAACGGAAATAAATTCTAAAAAAGTTCTAAGTACCTTCGTGTTTCGGAAAAAGCTCTTTTTTAAATAAAAAAGCTCCAATTTAATGAAAATTAAAAATTGGCCTCCAAAAATAGTTTTAAAAAATTGTCAAGACCAGCGTCGTTTTTAAAGATACTATTTTTTTCTGAATCGGAAATAAATTTTTAAAAAGTTTTTAGTGCCTCCGTTTTTAGGAAAAAGCTCTTTTTTAATAAAAAAAAGCTCAAATTTGATGATAGAAAGAGCAATGTTCGTCTCCAAAAATTGTTTAAAAAAATTATCAAGACCATAGCCGTCTTGATTTAAGATACAAATTTTTTCTCAATGGGAAATAAATTCTAAAAAAAGTTCTGTGTATATACCACCGTGTTTCGGCTTATTTATTACACTCTAATCATAAAGGAAATGTTAAAATATTATTAAAATAATAAACTTACAGAATTCCCATGGAATCTCCACGGAAATTTCATGGAATTTTTCGAGGTAGATTTTCCTAAGAATATCAAATTTGAGACAAAAAACGTATCAAAACGTAGCCTACGTTTTGATACGTTTTTTTTCTCAATTTGATATTCTTAGAAATATTGTGATGATTTTAAAAATTATAAATCCAATCTCTTTAGTTTATTAAAAAATACAAAAATAAAATATAAATTCTCTTTATATAAAAATGGAGAAAGAATATCGTGTTTTATTAAAAGAATACAACTTTTCCATTTAAAAATAAAAGTAAAGAGAAAAAAAAAATCTGAAAGAGTGTGATTTTTGCTCTAAAAGGAAATTTTTGCTCGAGATTTTTTTATTGTCTTTTGACATGAGGAGAGTGATTTAAGAGAAGCGGTTTGAAGCGCTAGTTAAGCCATGTTACTTCCACCTTATTTACATTCTGGCAATCAAAGAAACCTATGGGATGAAGCCATTGAGGTGGAAGGTTCGTATTCGAAAGAGAAAGCTCGATTGGTCGGATGAACAAACGTCTTGAGGAATCTGCAAACTCCTTTGAAGCTGGAAAATAGAGAAAGAAAACACAAACCTTCCCGGGTGAAATCCCCTTTAAAGAACCCCAAGAAAGACCTCTCTCTCTCTCTCTCTCCTCTCACACTATTTTATATAAAGAGAACCACTAGCACGAGCGCACGGATTTCGACAACATTTTCCTCAAAGTTTAATCGTCATTCCAGGTTTTCTTCCTTTTTTTTGGGAAAAGATTCTTCTTCCACACCGTGTGTCTCTTGTGTGTGGTCTTTCTGATGAATGAATGGATGAAAAAACCGCAAATTTATTAGCTCAATCGCTAGTTAGGTCAGCGATTTTTTTTTTTTTTTTTGCTTTATCTCTGCTGCTTCATCTCTGTGTCGGCGTATTCTTAATAGTTTTAGACTTGATCTTCGGTTCTTTTTTTTCACTTCCTTTTTCTCCTGTGTCCACACCTTTGTCGCAAACAGCCGATCCGCAACGATCGGGAAACGATATCTCACGGAAGCAGATTTTCCACCTCAAGGATTTCAATCTCGATGCTCTTTTGAAAATTGGAAGAGAGAAGTTTTTTAGAGAAAAAAAAAATTCCATTGTATAAATTTTCCTACTATCGTGGATAATTTTTTTTTCTTGCATTTTTGAATTTTTGAGGAATTTCTAATTTCAAAATTCAGTAACAAGAAACAAAGCACTAAAAAAATTTAATTTTAGAGAAATTACAATAATAATTGCAGGAATTCAATTATTTTCAAAAAAAAAAATAAAATTCAACTATGTTGAATTTATTTTAAAAAAAAATCCTAATTATCTTTAGAAATAACAAAATTCTTCTCCAAAGTTCAATTGTTTTCATAAATGTCAAAAAAATTCTTGTCCTAATTTCAATTACTTTCAAAAATAAAATGCATTTTTCTAATTTCAATAAATTTTCAATGATTTTCAATGATTTTCAATATTTAGTATTTTAATAAAATTTCCCAAAAAGAATTCAATTATTTAAAAAAAAATTTTAATAAAATTGTATGCAAACATTCAATTATTTTGATAAATAGTAAAAATTTCATAAGAATTCAATTATTTTCATAAAAAATAATTTAAAATTCTAGAAAATAATAATTGAATTAAAAAATTATGAAAATAATTTTGATGAAGTTACAGTAACAATATTCTTATGATCTCCTTTTTAATAAAAAACCATTTTTGTAAACAACCGTTTTCCAAGATTATGTTCTGTGTATAAAATCTGAAAATCATCCCACTTTATAAAATTGAGTTTAAGCATGATTTGAAAATAAAAATGTTTTTTGACTTTATGAAAAATATAAAAATTAGGAAAATAGAAAGTTTGTTTAAAAAATGAAAAATTTCTCGTATATTTTTGGCCCAGGTTTTTCTGTATTTGTAAAAGATACTCGGGGATGAGAAGGAACTTATCAAAGTACCATTAGTTGCCTATTCGATATGATGAATTGCATTCCCTGAACTCATCTAGCTTGTGATATTTGCCATCCATGCATATATTCGCCTTGGGCGTAAAATATTTCTGTTTTTCTGTAAAATATCAGATTTTTAGTAAACAGAAGAATTTTTTTCTAAATTGGATTTTTAGAAAATAAAAAAAATATTTTGCAAATAGGATTTTTAGGAAAGGTGAAAATATTTCTGAAAAACAAGAACAGGATTAAAACAAAAATTAAATTTTGTTTTTCCCTAATTTTCAGACAAAATTTTGACTTTTTTTCTCATCCTAAAGAATATTCTGATTCACTCTAAAAATTATTAAATACTCAAAAAAATGTTCTATTACATTTATTTACGAATTTTCAAAATCATTTTTTTACAATTCAATTTTACGAAATTTCGAATATTCGGAAATTCTTCAGTATTAAATATATTTTAGAAAATAGAAACTTCACATAATTTAAAAAAAAACAAAATTCAATTAAACTTTTTCAAAAAAATTAATATTACAGAATAAATTGTTAGCGTTACAAATAAATAATTTAATTCTTTTGAAAAATTTTATTAAAATAGTAGAAATTGAAATCATTGAATTGAGGAAAATTTTAAATAATAATTGAAATTTTACTAAGAATTTTATTAAAGTTTTTGAAAATGATTGAATTTCGGAAAAAAAATTTTATTATTTATAAAGATAATTGAAATTTTGACAAAAATTATTAAAAATTTTTGAACATAATTGAATTTCTGAGAAAAATTTTATTACTTTTGAAAATAATTGAATAATTGAAAATTTCAAATTTTTAAAGATTTTATTTTAAAACCTATTTAAAATTCAAATATTTAAAAAAATTCAAGGTCTAATGCTTTTAATATTCAATTTTTATGATCTAAAATTTTAATTGGAAGTCATTTAAAAATCAATTTTTATTAGAACATTCTACGAGAATTCAAATTTAAATACAAAAATTACCTATATATTAAAAAATTGAATTCTAATAAAGAAATTTATCAACAGATTTATAAATAATTGAATTCTTTCGACGAATTTTAATAACATTTTTTATGAATAATTATATTTTTTGAGAAATTTGATTAAAATTGAATTAATGATAATTGAAATTCTGCGTTGAGTTTTATTGTTTAAGAAATTAATTAAATTCCTAAAAAGAAATTTATTATTTATGGGAATAATTGAATTTTTGCGATGAAATTTCTTCAAAATGTGTAAATAATATTGAATTCCATTGATATTTTTATTATTTACGAAAATAATTAAATATTAGCGTTGAATTTTATCAATTTTTTTTTAAAATAATTAAATTCTTTTGACAAATTTTATTAAAATAATAGATATTGAAAATCATTGAATTGAGGACAATTTTTTAAAATACCTCATTAAAATTTTGACAAGAATTATTTTTAAAATTTTGGTAAATAATTGAATT